ATGGGAATGAGAGCCGGAAAAGGAACGATTGTTTTAATAAGAAGATAAAGAATGCCGAAGGGTGTAGGGAGAGGAACGCGAGCGCAAAGTTAACGCTACAACGACAAAAAGTCAACCGGGAAGCATGCTATTGGTGAGAATAGTCAGGTAACAGAATATTGAAGTCCAAGGAAGCGCAAAACTGACCATGCGAGAGTGGCAACAAATCAGGGCAAGGCAAGATTGTGAACGGGTAGCATTAAATGTGTGCGTAGTGTTGTAGTGTGCGAGCCACTTATCGAGTCGGAGGAGCCAGCGGCTTCGTATTTTGCCACAACCTGGGGCGTCGAGCAGACTGTGGGGGTAGACACTTCGTCAGTTCCTGACTTTTGACTTTTGCCTCTCCTGGGCATAATGGATATAAGCTCAATCAAACTGAAGGAGTAACGCAAGGGTACGATAATGAAACGTATAATAGCAGGAACGAATACGGGGGAACGCGTCACAAGGGAGACGAGGGGCCAAAGGGAAATACAGAGACGGAAATACTGTTCAAGGGGACGCAAAAATGGAAAAAAAGGAGAAGGGACCAACAAAATCACGAAGACTCGTCGGTGGGCGTCACCTCCACAGGTTCTGTCTTCTGTTCCCTCACCCTCGTCCACAGTTGTAACAATGAGAAAAAAACTCAGACAGTGCACACAGCCTTGCTCGCTCTTCAAAAACCGCGGCAAAACTCCCTCAGGCTCTTTTTTAAGGCAATTAAAACAAACTGGTATTCTCTCCTCTCCTACACACTCCCCTCCTCAGACGGAGCCCTGTCCGCAGGGCCAGCGTCAACTGTGGTTTCCACTGTCTCCTCCCGGACGGCTATCGGTACCAGATGAGGATGTATGACCGGGGTTAGTTCTGCAGTAGCCGTAGGTAGCTGACCCCGGTAGGGTTTCAACTTATCGAAATGCGCTGTGAAAGGGAGTCTGTTGGGTTGCCTGAGGTCTTTTAGAACGTACGTGGACAGATGGATGACGTCGACGACGCGGTATGGTCCCTCCCAATGGTTGAAGAACTTTGACGGGGGAACGGACCGATACTTCCACACGAGGGCGCCCTCGACATAAGGGGAACCGAACGTTTGGCGGTCGAAGTTGCTTTTCTGACGGTCGTAGGCTGTCCCTTGGGTGTGACCGGGCTAGGTTGTAGGTGAGGCGCAAAAGCTCCTGTAGTTGTAGGACGTATTCATTGGTCAAATGGAAGGCGGGAGATGGTTGGGGTGTCAAAGAGTCGATGGGGAGCTGGAAGGAGCGCCCTGTTATCATCATGAAAGGCGTATAGCCGGTGGACGAGTGGACCGTCGCTCGGTAGGTCATTAGGGCGCAGGGGAGACTTTGGTCCCAGTCGAGGGGGTGGTGGTTCTTAGCAAAGGCTTTAAGAAGGTTATTGAGCGTTCGGTTCGTTCGCTCGACTTGGCCGTTGCCTTCTGGGTGGAAAGGTGTTGTATGTGTTTTGTATATCTGCAGCATCTCGCACACTTCGCGTAGCAGTTTGCTGTCGAAGTTGGCACCACAGTCTGAATGGAGGGAAAGGGGTGCCCCGAACCGGCAAATCCATTCGTTAAAACTGGCTGTGGTAACGGAAGCCGCATCTTGTTTAAGGAGAGGTATGGCCTCAACCCACTTGGTGAAATAGTCTACTAGGACCAGGATAAAGCGGTGTTCATCGGTGGTGTACGGAAGTGGGCCAATAATGTCCACACCGACCCGTTGAATCGGAAATTCCGTTTGCATGGGCTGAAATGGAGCGCGCATGCGGTGCGTAGGATTCTTAAAGGACACACACGTAGGGCAGATGTTGCAAAATATATAGACTTGTTCGCGTAGCTGTGGCTACCAACAGCCTGAATATGGGAGTCATCGTCTCTGTCTGGGCGGT